CCCTAGACCCTAATATCCAAGCTCCTTACAGGAGACAGCGAAGTGCAATATAAGAGAGCACAGGCTTTCAAGTGCAAGCACATGACATGCGGACGAAGCTTGTTGTAGAACTGAATGTTAGGGTTCAGGGTTTAGAGTCCGGTTTTTTCTCTTCTGTTTAGGGTCTATGGCTTAGGGGTTAGGGTATAGGATTAAGGGTGTAGGGCTTATATGGTTAAGGTTGTAGGGTTTCGGGATGTTGTTCTAGACTCAGAAACTGCTCCATGATGTATGCACTTTTCAAGCTACATCCTTGCCCCATCGTGAAGGACACTGCGGAGGATAGTAAGGCTTCTTGGCGAATCATACACATTCTGGGAATAGGGTTGCTAAGGCTCTGGGAGCTTCGTCCATGAATGACAAACACATATCTTCTTACAACAAAACTGTTCTGGAAGTGAAGAAACCCTGTAGAAGGACCCTACTCCACAGTTGGTGGATGATATCACGCATGGTACTGAAGCATGCATGCCATACCTCGAGACGATTTAGTGCAGTATACTTCCAGCAATGCAGGATTGTGCCCATCAACAGTATTGCACATGTTCATGCCATTATATGAAGGGGTCGCGCACCTAGACAGTAGATGATTTGTCCAGACTACCTATATAGGAACACCATTTGGGCCAACTATGTACCAGTCAGGTAGCTGGACCCTTACGGTAAGGACCTCAAAGAAAGAGTCTTGTTGCTCAAGCCCCAAATCCCAAATTGGGCACTAGATCCTAGACTAAACTCTCGACTTTCAAAACTGTATCCCCAAATCATCAACCTTAATTCCTAACCGCAAGCAGCCATGAATCCCTAACCCTAAACTTTCTACCCTGAACCCTAAGCCGCAGGTCACTTGCCCCTCACCTGAAGCCACCTGGCAGGTGGGGGGTGGGTTGCTTGGGTCACGACCGTTGAGAGCTGAGAGCTTTTCAAGCTTGTACAGAGAGATGTAGTGATGTATAAGGTTTAGGGTTTAGGGGTTTAGGGTTTAGGGTATATAGGTGGGGGAGTATGTAGTTTATGGCTTTGGGTCAAGCATGTCAAGGTTTTAAGCCTGGGGCTCACAGTTGAGAATTTGAGGTGAAGAAGGCATTCTTTACTTTCTGCCGGTACACGTAAAGTTCTACTACCCTTGGGGTGAATAAGGGCAACCGGAGCCCATGAGCCCACAGGCAAAACACAAACGATCAAACACACCTCCCCTATGGGCCCAAGTACCCAAAGGATCGGGTTTTAAGCTCCAAATAATAATATCATCTGAATGGTATTTGGGACCTAAAGCCCTAATATTTGAGTCCTTGGACCCTTCGGGCTCAGGTCCCATACCGTTGATGGAGCAAATCCTGCACAATCCTAAGCTCCCCAGTTCTTGTGAACTGCAATAGTGGGTACCCTGTACACAGTCCCTCCGTCAACCTTACCTTGTTTTTAAAAAATTCAGATAGCAAGACCGCTGCCGCTTGCTTAGTTCCAAATGCCAAGACCAATCTTTTGGCATAACCCCCTTCATGCTCGCTTTGGGCGGGTGAGGATGATTCAAAGCCCTGACGCCCATAGCCAGTTGAGAGCCTCTAGTAGCCAGTAAGTATAAACCCCTTCATGCTCCATGCGAGGTTCCAGCTACCCTTGCCCAAGTCAACATGCAGGCCCACAACTAAGGTAGGTTCGGGGGCCCTTTGAAAAAATCTGGCATTATAAGGATTCTGTAGAGATTCAATGTCGTAAAAATTGAACGGAAATATCAAGCCTACTCCTGACAAGGGGCCCTTCAAAGACTACCGTCCATGTGAAAGGGCTTCTATAGGTTTCTAGTCTTGTTACGGAACATACTGGTTACTGGGTAAAGACCGTACTTGAAGTTACCTTATTAAGGGTATATAGCGAATAATGAGTTTTTCTTACTATAGTAACTGAGTTCAGGTTCCTTAACAGCAGCCCAGTAAAGAAAGCCCCGAAGCCAGAGAAGCAGCTTTTGGATCAAAGGCGATTGCGTCACACGGTTTAGGGTTTAGGGTTTAGGATTTAGGGGTTAGGGTTTAGGGGCTAGGGTTTAGGGTTTAGGGTTTCCTTTGGCAAGCTTGCTCGGCTCACAAGCCAAGAGCATGCAGTTCTTAGGCTTAACCCCAAAACAAAAATGGAATGTCATAAGGTCCCCCTGTCAAAGGATGGAAATCTTTTTAGGGCCCCTATTGAAATAATGTGTTTGTAGGGCATTCCCTCATCAGGGAACCTCACTAGGGAAACACTCTTCCCAGCTGCCCTCAGGGATCATCTGAAGTCTGTTTCCACGGCCTCCGCACACAGAAGAGCTTCAGCTTTCTGGGTAATCAGTGCCGCACAACAGTACCTAGCCTCAAATTGGTCCAGTGGTTTGAGAAGGGAAGACACTCACTATCTCTCTCTACCTATATATATATATGCATAAACACACATACTAATACATGCATATGTATGCGTAGTTAGATCCCTGAAGTTGCTCCCGAAACTTGCTCAGGGCCGGACGGCTTCCATTTGATGGCTTTGCAAGTTGTTAAGGCCACTCGTCGCAAACCATTTGATGCAGACGTGTAGGCTGCCACTGTATATCGAAGATTACACTCGGATATCTGCTATTATGCTTTCCGGAATATGCTGTGCCTAATAGGTCTTGGGCTCTCTGACTAGAACACGAAAGTCTTCAAGTGAACTGCAGCTTCCTTGGAGGGTGGCAGGGTCCGATCTCTGCTGTTTTGTTCAGTCGATGACGCGCTTTCTCTTCTTTTGGATGGCGTCTAGCAGACTTGCGCGACTCTCAGGACCAAGCGATCCATGCTTGGCTCCCAGCGGAACAGGATTTCGCATATAAATCTGGACCCTAGTGGTGAACTCCGCTCAGTAGACATCAACAGAACTGCTGAAATTCAGTTTGGATTTCTTTAAGCAACTTAGCAACTTGAAAGCCCGAGACCTGCAAAAATTCAATCCCTCCTTGTTTCATTCAGTGCCCATTAAGAAAGCATCAGTTGTTCGCATGCTTTGCCAATGAAGGTCTAGTGGAACAGGTCGATCTGAAACTTCAACATCCTGCTCTGCCTAACCTCTCTTATTGACATGTAAATCTACTTGGAACTATAAACTATAAACCTTACGTTAAGCCCTGGTGCTGGAATCCTGCACCCGAATCCCTGTCCTGCACTCTATTCCCTAACCATGAACCAGAGACGTAAGCATAAAACAGATTTAAAGCAAACGAGATCTCAAATCGTCCCTAGCCCCCCCGTTCCAGCACCGCGCAAGCTTTTGAATGAACACCTTCCAAACATGCAACAAAGCCTCACGTAGTTGGGCTGCTGGCGGCGCCTCAGTTCAAAGGTTACAAGTATTTGCCCCTTACATGGGCCCTTAGGCCTTCGAGGCAAATCTCGGGACCCTAAAGGGTACAATATGGGGTATGGTATATGGGTGGTTGTCAAAATTATGGTCCCTTTTTGGATCCCTATTATAATACGGCACCAAATATTTGGGTACCCAAAACAGGGACCATGATTTTGACAACCACCCATATAAAGATCTCAGGATTCAGGGCCCAGCCCATACTAGGGGCCCATGGTTTCTACCTTATATCAGATGCTCCTTACCAGCCCAGAGCTGATTAATGTTGGGGTTCGTAGGGACAAAGGGAGTTGCTATATATATATATATGTAATACTGTTGATTGATGAAATCTTGCACCACCTTGGGACCCTAAACTACTGTATTTCCTAGGACTTTAGGGACTTAAGGTGGTGCAAGATTTCCTCCATCAACAATATGGTTTAGGGGGTTAGTAAGGAAGAAGGGAATAAAATCCCTATATAATCCCGACATAATATATTCCGTGCTTCCCTGCTAAGAACCAGTAAGCAAATCCAATTAGGATTTATGTGGGTTTTAGGGTTGCAAATTATGTTGAAGTCTTTTTAAGGTACCCTATGCCATAGTTATACGAGAAATCTAGAAGCATAATATGGTAATTCCTTAGGCACATTTAGGCCCCTGTGATACTTTTGTGTGTGTGCGCGTCTTTGGTAAAACGTGCGCAATTTGTGTGCTTGCTGAATTTGTCCTGGCACTTGGATTTTTTTTGGGGGGCGGAAGATATGGGACAGGAAGGACCACCCAAATCTGGCACACACGCAAATCTCGTTCCATTCTCATTTTCTTCAGTTAGCTTCGCTCCACACCTCCGGCTCGACATATCGGCTTCCGCCATGTCGTCCCTAAAGACTACCAAGACATGCCACGCTTGTTACCAAGGGGCTTTACAGGGACAACCATAAGGCGTTGTAACGGTTCACTTGCCCACTCCCCCTTAATCACCGCAAGTAGCACATGCAGTAAACATTTTTTTTTGTCAAGTCCAGGCCTTGCAAGTCCATCTAACATGGAACCCAGAAAAGTTGTTTCAAAGATTACTCTTCCTTCAGCAAAGGGGGCTGTGAGGGGTTACATATTGTACGCCTACTGCAGGTCAATACCAAACTTGTCCGGATGCATTTGTGCCTAAATTTGGGCTTTATTTGGCTCATATTGGAGTCTCAGCAAATAGAATAAGGTTGCTGGACCATGTTGTACTATACCTGCATAAAGATGTGAAAAAACATATTACTGGCAATTCCTCAGGCTCTTGCATTACGACTACTTGCTACTTGATGCTCAGGGATCCCCGCAGACGTGTTCCTTGATCAGTCGCGGCAAGGGCCTAAATCAACACTTCTCGTCCCAAGGTTTCCATACATACAGTGGACAGGGCTTTAGGATGAACAGTAGTTGCAGTTGTTGCTGCTAATATCAAGCACACGGCGCCCAGATTCGCCCTTTTCCGACGCTCGCTGTATACACATTTCAAAGTTGGCAAATGCCGTTGCCAGGGTTCATAAACTCTCTGCAATCTTGCCGGGTCTCCAGGTATGCCTTCCATTCGGCTTCAGCAGCAGCCCCACGGGTCACTATGTGGACGATGTGGGGGCACTGAGCACCAGATGTTGTTCCCGGACGACTTTCAACAACAAGTGCACAACAGTCTTAGCAAGCTCTGTGTTCTCTTTGACTGCTTGGTCGAGGAAGCTCCCCTGCTGCTCCAGGATTGCAAATGACTCTGCCGCCAGCATCTCTCCGCATTGAGTTTCCAACAGACTTCCGCTGCCAGCTACGTGCCCCAAGACAGGCAGCACGTTCTCCGAGGTCAGCAACGTTGAAAGCTTCTGCTCGACCATGTGCACCAGTTGTGGGAGACAAAGCTGATCTGCGAGCTTATGGAGTGATAGCATCTGGCTAAAATCCTGACATGCCACCTGGCCTGTTGTAAGGTAGTGAAGAACTGCAGCCATCGAGGAACGGTCTGCATGTGGATCACTGCTCAAATCTACCTCCTTGGTAACTCCCTCCTGCCATGAGGTCTCTGCAAACATAAGGGCAAAGTATTCTGAACGTTGTATCAGCATGTGCTGGTCAGAGTACAGACAAGACCCATCTGCAAGGCGGAACGTGATGATTGCGGGCGCCAAGGCAAAGTCCAAAGGCTTCAGCTCCAAAGCTGGGCTGAAGTGCGGAAGCCAGGCCTCGCCTCGGATCCGGGGCACATCTTGGTGCCCGACGTCCATTGCTTGATGCCAGACCATGTTGCCCCAGCCGCGGACAGGAGCGTCTTTGCTGAAACTGAAGCGAGTGCTCCGGCTTTCAACCTTTGAGGAAGTGCTATTCGTTGGCATGTATGTCATGTATGTAACCGAAGTGCTGTTCCGTGGCATGTATGTAACCTTAATGTGGATGCAAACATCTGGGCACAGCCAAGATGTTGTCGCAAGGTGTTGCGGAGGCAATACCTCAATGAAGGCGCCCAACAATGCACTGTTCATGCATGGAGTTGCTGGGTTCACCCTCAACCTGAACTGGAATCCATGCAAGGGCCCCGTCGGTGCTGAGCATTCTATCTCCTCGCTGGAGTAGAGCCTAGGTTGCTTGGACAACACCAGCTCCACTTCATATTTCTGCCGATGCCCGGCCAAGGGCGGCATGCAGGCAGAAACGGCTTCATCTTCGGCGACGGCCATGCTGCGCACCTGAGTGCTGTCCTTGCAATACGTACCGTATGCTTGGACTCAAACACCTGCAGGGCGAACATGATCGTGTGCAAAAAATGCGCCATAGCCTTTGTAAATGATGCGAAGGGTTTCTAGCCCGCAGCTCAACAATAATACGGGCAGCAGGTTCGCAGGTGGATGGAGCCTGTCTCTCATGGTACGAGAACTTCAAATGTCATTGGTAACCGCTCGCGTTTTTGTGCACATGTGTTGACATATGAGGGAACGTGCAGAGATGACAAAGGCCCAGAAGCTAAAGCAAGCAAAACGACCTGAAATCCAAAAACACATCCTTCAATCTTCGGCCCCCGTCTTCTGCTAGTGGTGCAGATGCTCCCCAGCAGCCTTCTACACTGCAAAGCCGCTCAAAGCCTAAGCACTGGGTTTACGCTTTACAGAATAATACCGCTAATATTGTAATAGCCATAACAATAATAGTAAAAATGATAATCACTATGAAATACTAATAATAAGCCTAGACGAACCTCACACTATTCATTCTCCCGAGGATCAAAGACGCTGGGGCCCTGGCTCTTCGTAAGAGGAAGCTGGACTCGAAGCAAGTGCCTCGCTGGATCCTGAGCGTCTATCAGCTTCTCTAAGACTTTGCAGGCTTCTTATATGGAAAATCTTGGAGTGTGGAACATCTCTACCAGGAGTTTCTCGGAGCTTGCGGTGAATGCTGAGCAGGATCTTTACCGGCAAAGTCCTATATGTGCCATGGTCTTCACTCATGAGGTTGACCGATCCCTGATGGAGGATACATGGCAAGAGTCCCCATGCTTTCCAGGTCACACCCTGAAAGGTTGGACTAGTTTTGACTATATTTATGACTATCGGGCTATATACAAAACAGAGGGACCCTACCTTTCAGAAGCGCGCACATCCCTTCACCGCTGCTCAACCCCCTCAATAAGCCCCAACCTCATGTCCGGGCGCTGAGCCGGCTTACATCTTCAACCAAGCCATGGCGCGACAAACCCAAAGCACCTGTAACTGCAACATCGTCCTGAGGGGCAGATGATCAAGAGATATTCCCTGAAACGTAAGCCAGAGACGAATCTCCTCTACCCCAAGCCTTATCCCTACCCCTTCAATCTGATACTGTTGAGGGATGAAAGTATGCGCCGCCTAGGGCCTTAAACTACTGCTGTAATGTAGATCCTTGATTAATAACCCCTCTCCGTTTGATATGGCTTATAATATGGATCCTAGTATCAAGGACTTTCCAAGGAGGGGTTTATGAATCATGGGTCTACATTAGTGACATAGGGTGGTGCAAGATTTACCCCATCAACCTAAACCCTAAATCCCAAACCCCAAACCCCAAACCCTAAACCCTAAACCCTAACGGGACCTGGCCTGTATCAGGACTCCTCTTCCTTCTCCTCTTCGCTTGCGGGGGCCTCGCAGCACTCCTCTCGGCTGGGCAGGTTCCCAGTTTAAGGGTTTAGGGGTTTAGGGCTTATAGGGTTTAGGGTTAAGGGTTTAGGGTCCAGGTTTTAGGTTTTAGGGTTTAGGGTCTATAGGGCTTATGGTCTAAGGGTTCAGTGTCTAGGGTTTAGTGTGTGGTGTTTAGGGTTTAAGGTTTGGAAAGTTTCCTGCCTTTAGGGCTCAGGGCTTATAGGACTTAGGGTGCAAGGCTCTAGGGTCGTAAGGCGTAGGGTTCATGGCTGGGGCTTAGGGGTTTTGTAGGGGTTTTATAGGGACCTGGAGGATTTGGGGACCAGAGTCTCTGTAGAACTGCGCTTTGAAGGGTCTAGCTGTTGGTTTAGGCCCTTGGGGCCCTGAAGCCTCGACCCTGATCTAAAGAAGTTTCAGGCGGGTAGTTTCCCCCAGATAAGCTTACACAGCCCTTGTGCACTCCCAGTCTCGCCATAGAAGCCTTGTCAAGGGCCTTATGTAAGGATACCACCTGGTAACTCCTCACCTGCAACTTCCCTGAACCCCAAAGCCAAACTCTTCAATCCTAAATCCTAAGTTTTGAATCTTCAAAACCCTGAACCCTCCTAGCGCAGTCCTCCACAGAGGAGCCCTGCTTGGTGTCATCCTTGATGCGGACCTTTCCGGCCTCCTTGCAGCCTCAAAAAGCTCAAAGGTTTAGGGCTTAGGGTTAAGGTTTTAGGGTTAAGGGTTTAGGGTTAAGGGTTTAGAGTTTAAGGTTTAGGGTTTAGGGTTCCTAAACCCCAAAAGTATGTAAAAATAATGCCCTAAACCCCTGAGAACAGCCCAAAAAGCCATACTTTTACATACTTTTGAGGTGTAGGTTGGGGGCTTTATAGAAGTCATGTACGTAGTTAGAGAGCATTTATGGCGATATATAGAGTTTGGTCGAAGAGGAAAGGGGGTCCCTTTCAAGTGGTATAATGAATTTCTAAGGGTGCATAGAGAGATAGACAGCAATATAGAGATATAGGAAGGCTCAAAGAAAAGGTGACCCTGCAAAGGGGACACAGGAGTTGATTATATAGGGTGATGTATACAATATGGGACATATACGTATATATTCATAAGGTATAGGGTTACTATGACTCCTATTACCGATTGTGGTAACTGTGGGTGTAAGGGGGAAGGTCCTAAGTTGAGGCCATACCGGGGCCTTCCCTAGGCCGTTGTTGAACAAGGTTTAGGGCGTAAGGTTCAGGGTTTGGATATTCTGGGTTTTGTTCATATACCTGAGTCGCATCGAGACTAAATCTGATCTTTGCAAAATGGCCTAGCGTTATGCATACCAGTTAATAAGAGGTCGTGTTACCTGGGTTCAACTTGATTTCTCCCTACCAAAGCCGTAACCCACAACCGAAACCCAAATACAATTCAAAAAACAAACGAAGCCAACAAAAACCCTAAACCACAAACACATACCTACACCCCAAAAGTATGTAACATTATGGCCTTTTGGGCGGTTGTTAGGGGTTGAGGGCTATTATTTTACATACTTTTGGGGTTTGGGTAGTACTGGCCCATACTTCCAACCTCAGACCGAAACTTCCCCCTTCAGCTTTATGGGATCTCGAGCTCACCCAAGGAAATCAACCCCCTTCCGGCTCCCCCTGAGCTTGGAATATTCTATCACTGATTAAGGGGAAACCTCTGGATGCTATACGCGGAGGGGGTGGGGGTCGGAGAAACTGAGACCAGCCCTCCAAGGCTCGCGCCGCAGTAGTCTTTGCAAAAAATTGGGTCCTTGGCTCCACTTGGGGTTTTGTGATTAGGGTTTGGGGTACTTCGGGAATCCCAGTTACCTGTAGCTTACTAGGTTAGAACCCATAAATCTCTGGGTACTTGGGTTGCAGGTAAGGATTTAGTGGTGAGGGTTCATAAAGGTCTCATGGTTAGGAGAGCATGGAGGTTTGGTGGCTTAAGATTAGGGTTGAGGGACTGCGGATGATAATTTACCCTGTATAAAGCTTGCGGGCAGTGATTTCGGGGCGGGGTTGGCAATAAAGAAGAATGGGACTGCACTCTCTTCTCAAATCCATCTTCGACCTTTACACACATCCATGTTTGATTGAGGTGTTGTGATGTGATGAAACTTTGAGTTTCGGTTCCCGATGTGCTGAATGTAACGCGTAGGGGGAGGGGTAGTCAAGAGGCTGAGGGACTTGGCCAAACAAAAACGGAACGCCAACATAAGCCTCAGAAGGACTCCCGAAAGATCCTGCTGTCGAATGAGAAATAAGCATCCCCCTATTCTCATAAACCTTAGTGATCTCAAGAGTCCTCCAGCGGCTCCCCTATTCAGAGACATCCCTACATTGGGGGGTTCCATAAATGGGGGGCCCAAACGCATACACAAACATCTCGTAATCCTTCGTACACGTGCTCCCCGTCGTGGTTTGAGATGGGAAGGCTGTAAGAGGTACCACAGCTTTATAACGGCTTGCCAAGATAGTACAGGGGTTTCTCAAACAGGGGGCCCGGTGCGACCTTGTGGACATAGAAGGACTTGTGATTGAGAGGATCATCCGAATCAGTATGCATGATTACATCGGCGGGTTTGTTTGAGAAACGCCCAGGCCATTCTGAGCCCACGGTTTAGGCCGTAGCATCGAGGGTTCTGGGTATAGGGCGGAATAAGAATGAATACTCATTATGCACCTTCTTTTTGAGTTTCAGTGAGTCTCTGGTTCCTTTTGGGGAATCTGAGGAACCCCAGAGATATGTGAGGATTATAGGGGTCCCCACAATCTCAAACTACTGGGTGACTGTTAAGGAATATGGGCATAAATAATGGGGTTTCCAAACTTAAATTAAGTTTCCAGAGTATTGGAATAAGGTAAATAGTTAATAGGGCTTCCTTCTGCAGTGACTGAATTCATGTTCCTTAACAGCAACCCAGACTAATCTTTATAACGCTGCTGCATTGGCGGCCAGTGCTTCAACCCACCGGGACCCGCGCGTAGCATTCGGCATCCGTGCTGCCGAGAAGGGAGTCCTCCTTCCACTTACTACGGCGCCGGATACTACAAATCCAGCATGCCCTCAAGGAGCTTATTCCTTTTGATGGTATAGTTGTA